TTTTCTTCATAACTCAGTAGATGTTTTCAGTAATTCTGGTAGCACTCAATCTCAACTGTAACAGTTTGTTAATTCTTGTATTCTACCTATGCTTCTTTTACTGCTCCACAACAACTAAATCTTTGTTATACGGCATGAAAGGTAGTAAAACGCTGTCAGTGGGATGAATGCGACATGTTGCTACGCTAACTCGTTAATACTATTGTAGATAAAGGCATACACTCATGCAAGAAATTAACAAATATTATCTTGTGTTGGACCCTGAGTATCCTATCTAAACACAACTGTACCCTTGCCGCATTTCATCAAGTAGGAGAACTAGAAGTAACTATAGAGGACTTGACAGTCGGACAAATGAGCATATAGACTCTAAAATAGCTTATCTGGCTTACACTTTATATGAGTGTAAGGTAGGGAACTACCAGCTTAATGAGGAACTCTAAGTAAATGACTCTCTGTTTTTATTTTCCATGATTATATTGTTGCTGATATTTTCACTCGGATTCTTATTTTTATTCACTTTTGTATTTAACAATATTGTTAATGTCAATACCTTTCCTTAATTAATGCCCTTGTAATGAGAAAGTTAGATACTACATTCTGGAAATTTCATAAGAACTGTTCGGAATAAAGATATTATAATTGGTTACAGGATTTCATCATCAGCTGACATTAATTAGAGGACCATTGGAAAACCTGAGAATACTGGACAGCTGTTTCGCCCCAGTTTAGGACTCTTCACAGTACGCATCCCCGAGGGGTTCGAACCCAGAACCTTACGGTTACAGGGTGTTTCGTCCTAGTTCGCCCTTCTCATTATAGCTTGAAACCACACAGTATTTCTGGTACAAGTATGGAATTTTTATCGTTGTGATATCGGTAGCCTGAATTTTGAAGACAGACCATTGATATCAGGTGTACGCCTGTAGGGGATCAAACCCGGGATCATGTGCATGGTTGATGAGAGCTCTTTCCTCTGTGTCACCGACGCATATATATATATACTGATTTATTACTACCTTAGGTTCCAAGTGGAGCACTCAGCCTCACCAGAACGTCTCACCTTGTCCTCCGCTTCCCCCTCTTTGGATAGTTTTACGGTTCCTCTTAAGCAGTGATTTCGCTCCTCAACACAATCACCTCCGTCAGGCTCTTGGGCTTTCAAATAGTCATCTCACATTCTGCTTCCACCTACAGGTATTACGAGTATGGACAGGTTCAATCTATCTCCATTAATCTCTGCGTACTTCTTGATAGATAAATTATTGATTGGTTCGTTATCAGAGTTTCTTATTGTTAGTCACCTTCTATCTGGCCATCTTATCTTCACTGTCGAACTGGTGAAGGAAACGTTTCAGAAACGTCTATAGCATGGCAACCCTCTGAGGTACTAATATGACGTTAGTGTTGAATATCGGAACCTCAACAGAGATGTATTTACTCTTTCGGTAGAAATCGAGCTTGAAACTAGCCACCCTACTCATTAAAATCAACGCAATGGCTACTGGAACTTCAAAGTTCAACTTTGAAGCACTATTCTTCAAACAGAATGCAATGGAATGGATGAAGAAAGATATATTCACTTTGATAATTTGTTTAGGCACTCATCTGCTTTATAGAAGAAAACGCGACTTATTATTAGCTTATCCTCTGAAACTCACTAGCAGTACGCATCAAAAAACCATCACACAAAGCTTCATCTAGTGCGCTACAGTACAATGTGTAATGAACAAGCTGTCTGGAAAATGCCTTCTGGAAGATCTGTTTTTTTAATATTTATACTTATTTAGACGTTTTGGTTCTTCCATATCGGTCAGAAACTTGCACTGTGTGTCACAAAAGGATTTCCAACTGCTTGTTGCAGACTCCCGTCAACAGCCATCGCCTTCATTGGCTCCATATTGAAGATGAAATGGCCGGTCAGAAAGAATAGGCAACAAGAAACTCTACAATTGAAAAAACCAACAGGCGAGAGCCGATCACTCAACAAGTATGTAGGATAAAGTGGAGTTGGATTGATCAGGCATACATTGAGGAGCCCGCCGAATGACATCACCCTCAAAGTAGGCCAGTGCTTGAGTTTAATCCAAAAGGGAAGCGATGAGTAGGTTGTCACTGCTAGGGCAATATTGAGGAGATCATGTGAGGAAGAGATGAGAGATTTTTTGATGTGGTTTTGTTCTCTGAGCTGGATGGTTAGTTTGCGAAGCTTTCATCGCCCTACTGGGTGACATCTTCAGCGCATACTTCAGTCTGTTGAAGTGAGCTTTTAGATTTCTCCACGAGTTTATTAATCATTCCTCCTGGTGACCTTGGACGTGATTGGTTGTTTATGTGTGTTTTCACACCTTCTAGGTTACTTGTATTGGAACTGATTGTTTCTGTGACTTGAACTTTGACCTTTTGTGTCTGAAGTTTCTTTCTTATTGGTTGATAAATTTTGTCTATCTCGATGTGTCTATTGATTGATATTTCAGTGGAACACCGGGCTTCTAAAAATTCTCTGATATTCTTGTTGTTTCCTTTGTCTAATATTTGAATGTTGTTCCAGTCGAATTGATGTCCGTGGTTGTCTGTGTGTAGTGAAATGAGGGAGTGTATATCATGTCTTTTGACGGCTAGCTTATGATCGTGGATACGAAGACGAAGGGGACGTCCACTTTGGCCAATGTAGTGTTTTTCACAGTTGTTACAGTTTATTTTGTAGATGATGTTGGTTTTATCTTCGTTCGCTGTTGAGTCTTTTGGTTGACATAGAATTGAGTGCAGCGACTTTGTTGGTTTGTGTACGACGTCAATTCCTAAAGGTTTGAAGAGTCTTGTAGTGATTTCTGAGATATCATTTATATATGGTAAGGCGATTTTCTTTGTGCTTTCCTTGGTGGCTTTTGTTTCGGTTGGTTGGCTTGGGGGTATATGTCTCTTGATGAAATTCCGTGGATATCCATTCTTTTGGAAGACGTCCATGAGATACTTTTCTTCAATTTTCCTTAAGGTGGGAGTGCTGCAGTGAGTCCTTGCTCTCTTGAATAGTGTTTGTATGCAGTTCCTTTTGTGTGCTATTGGGTTGTTGCTGTTGTAATTCAGTATTTGGTCTGTGTGAGTTGATTTCCAATAAACTTGAGTTTCTAATTCTCTTGTAGTTGTTCGCCTGACTAAGACGTCCAAAAGTGGTATTTTGTTCTCGGATTCCTCTTTTCTTGTGAATTTGATGTCGTTGAAGACGTTGTTTATTAAGTTGTGAGTTTTGTCACAACTTACGAACGAAAGGGAATTATATATATATATATGATATAGACATTTCAACCGACTCCGTAATTATTATACGCTCCTCCCCTAGATTGTGTCTCATTAATTTATCATTCACATATGGCATGTAGATTTTTGGTCTTTATTATTTGCACTTGTCCTTGTTTAATCATTCACTGTAATACTTCTCTTTGTGTTTGTGTGCATACATCGACAACGTCTTGTATAACGACGTGAGTTTGTTTGAGTGAGAGTCTTTTGGACTAAGTACGACTGGCTTTGACGAGAAGAGTTGATGTTTGATTTTGTGGCCAGAGCTTCATGTCCCATCTCGATGTGGATATTCTCAGTGTTTCTTAGGTACGTTTTAAAGCTGAATTTAGTCAATCAATTTTGTCTTACAATAATTTTTTTGTATTTGGAAGCATACATTGCCTGTTTAACTAGCTGTCTTACAGCGCTGTCGAGGAAAATATAAGTTTTGATATGATTATTGTCGTTTAATGGAACCATTAAAATGTTAAAAAATAATCGTCTTTTCCCTGCATTCGGAATGTTTCATGACAGACCATGTGTCAATGAAGTTCTATCGGCTGTACAGTAGAGAGTAGAGACGGGTTTTGTGTATTCAGACTGTTATTAAATTGTTTCCTTTAGTTCCTGGAGGAACACAGGGCTTCAGACGCACGTCTCCATTGCGTTCGGTTCTCTGACAACGTTTTCACCTGGCTCCATGTCTGCCCACATGCTTTCATCTCCACTTCATATCACCTCCTCTTCCGTGTCACCACACTTTCTCAGTGACGAACAACTCTCTGCTTCTCATTCGGGTGCCACCCGAGCGATGGTTCGGCGTGTGATGTCACTCACTTGATGGTTTTCTCAGAGTATGGACAATCCACCTCCATTGCTTCCTGCAAATTTGTCGCACAACTGGTTCCTGGTTGGTTCACTCCCAGAGATCTTTGTTGCTGATCTTTTCTGGCTGGCCATCTGATCTTGAGTATTGATCGAAGACCACTGTTGATGAAGGTATGTAGTTTGTTTGAAGTGCTCTTCGTGACGCACAGTGCAATTCTCTAATCCGTATAGTAGCACTGACTTCACACTGAAGTTGAAAATCTGCATCTTATTTTTGATGCTGAGTGCTGTTGACTCCCACACAGACTTGAGAGTAATGAAAGCTTACCTTGCTTTCCCGATCCTCACTGCTTTGATGTTCTCATCAGTATTGTCCGCCTGCAGTTGAAACGATGCTACCCAGGTGGGTAAAGGAGACCATTCAGAGCATTCAGACCATAACCGAATAAATTTGGTTGTTAAACAGTAATCCATAAATTCTGCTTTCTTTTAGTTAGTGTCACAGTCAGCCAATATCATGGAGGAGCTTCCGTCTGATTCTCATGAGGCAAAGAGCATCTTGGCAGTTACACCCATTAGTAGAACTTTAGTGTACGAACAGTTGAAGAGCATCAAACTATAACGAAACACGTTTCCAGTGCTACTTGGTTCACCGTTGTTGTCTAATTTATATCCGTCTCATAACGATATCTGCACTATGCTGAAATTGCAAAAGTTATAGGTACTAACCTTCTCCCATATGACCACAGTTGACTGTGGCGTATGTACTATAGGTATGAATGAATATAACTCATAGAAATCTGCTTTCCTAACTACTTAACAAATAGTCGAGTTATTAAAAAAGTAATATTATTACATATGAGTATATATTTAGACAGTGATTCACTTACTTTATATTTGGATAGATATCCGCTTGCTCCTGAATCTGGTACCAGCTAAAGGTGGAAATTAAAAGAAGAAAAAAGAGAAAAACAGACTGATTATGATTTTGTGAAGAGAAGTTTGTTTCAAAAGAAAAAAAAATTTTGAAAAGAACCCGAAGCTGAGTCTCATAATCTTGTGAAACCTCATTCGGTAGAGTGTGATTTCTATGGGACAACTCTTAACAGACGATTAATAAATTCGTTACAGGGTTTCATCACGGGCTGATATTGGTCAGAGAATCATTGGAAAACCTGAGAGTGCTGGACAGTTGTGTCGGTTTAGTTTGGAACTCCTCAACCACCAGGGTTCGAACCCAGGCCCTTCTGGTTATAAGTTATAATTCATGGTCCATTTGATCGGTTCCCAGTGGCTTAATGGTCCTATGTTCTATCCCTGGTAGCGGGTGAGTACTGTCGAAGAATTTCAAAATAAGGTGAAACAACTGTCCAGCACTCCCTGTAGGGTTTTCAATGGTTCCCTAACCAATGTCAGCTCACGATGAAATCCTGTAACCAATCAGTCAAACCTCTACAAATTAATACTTGACTATTAGATTCATTGTTTGAAAAGTTAACATTCCATCTAGTGATTCCTCAAGCCTACTGATGGACTCCTCCTGCCTAGTGAGGCTTATTCTACTTTCGGGAGCATTCAGAGTGTTTTACAGCTATTTGTACTGGTCAAAGAAAGAGAAGAAGGGGGGAACAGTTGAGTAAAATTATCATTTACTTCTGTTCCTACCCATATCTGATAACGTTTCGAGTTAGTGAGGTGTATAATTTATGTCTTTTTGTGACCAAGGAGTCACGATACACAAACCGATCTCTCCTTGAAACTAGGACCCACTGAAAACCATTTTCTATTTTCCATCGAGTTCTTCAGCTATGAAACAGTGCATAAGGTAGGAAAGAACTAGTGCAATAATATTCATTGCTACGTAGACAATATCTTAAGAAAAGCTCACAATCTCCTCATGGGTCAAACACACACACACGTCAGAGGAATCAGATTTACTAGCAAAATAAAACCCCACCCACAGAGCATCCAAGTAATTCTATGGAAAAAGCGATGAACAAAAAATACACAATTCGCACATAAGTTGGAAATTTTGGAAATTGATTTGCAGTTATGAATCAATTTTTAAATTGTGAATTTAATTTATGGCTAGCCAGAAACCGGGTGGTTTGAACTGACTTATCTCTATTTCTGAGCCAAGCCAAACCGCGTATACCGATGACAATAAGCCTAATGTCAAAACAGGTGAGATGATCTTCCAGTGTTTAGATAACTTCAGTGATCTGGTAGGCCAGGAAAAAACTATTGACCATTGTGAGAAGTATCCATTTACGCATCTCTGTCAATCGGTAGTATATATACGGGAAAGTTCGATGATCGAATAAGGACGTCCGCTGGACACGTCATTACTGCCATACTCTTATAGCACCTATCTAAAGTAAACACTTAATCATTGGATTTACGCGACAGGAGGGTTCTTATAAAGGTGATACTTGTGATAAATTGATGTAATCGGCATCAGTCATCACCAAACTAGTGCAAACAATTGATTCATTTTGAAGAGCTTTGAAAAATCTTATGTTCAAAATCTAGAGGTGCACATGGTAAATGACGTCTTTTTACTTCTTACAACAAAGCTCCTGATGTAGATCACATCTTTAGCAAAATACTAAGAGAATTTTCACTTCTGAGTGTTTCGGCACTATCCTAAACCTCACTCAGAATACAGAATGATGCGCCAGACAGTAGCTGATATTCTGAGATCCACTTAAAATAAGCGTGGATCTCCTACTCCAGGCGTGACTATGTAAACTGTAATAGTTACGTGAGACACGCATAAAACAGACTCCTTTCCACTGAATGATGCTTCTGTTGTAGATTTATTGTCCTTGAATCCACCTAAAAATTGAAATTTGTGGTCTTCAAACTGACCCTACTGCTCAAGAAATGAACATTGTCAATAAATTCTGTCTCTATCTAAGAAGACAAGTAGGCTCATACGTTAAACGCGCATTCCTAATAATAATAACAGGATATTTTGATTGGACACTAGTAACTAGTGTGACGTGTCTAGTCCTTTCATTGCTGCAGACTGAATTCTATCAGTCAGTTAGGTTTGCAATGTAGCCACCACTCTTGGTAGCTCACCATTACGGTGCACATTGATTTAGGGATATTAAATGGTCGGAGGCAATCGGCTACAAGAAGCCTTGCCTGACCTAGGTTTTGTGCTAGTTGGCACTTATCAGTTAGCAAAACGTACCTGCAACCTTGAAGAACTTATGTCCCTCCTTCAAAGATTCGAATCTGCGTCACCCAGTGTGCTGCAGTCAGAGACGTTAACAATGAGCCACCTATTTGGGCATGCGATTGATATCCTGTAGGACTGTAGTCGGTATTTTGATTAAACACTAGTAACTAGGTTGCAGATAGGCCTTGCTGACGAGTGCCAAATAGCATGAAACCCAGGTCCTAGGCTTCCTGCCGATTGCCTTTAACCATCGAATAACAAGATAAATTTATTATTTTAATTTCTTGTGCTCCATTTGGAAAATAGGGCTTCAAGCTTGAGCTTACAGTGGGTGGAGTCACTAGCCTGACACCTTATCTCCCCTTTTTACTAGTCGTACTACTGTTTAGGGTAGGCTTAGGAGTGATTCGTCAGCTTCGTGTCAAACCACTAAGGCAGTGAAGCGTTTGAAATGAATACAGAAGAAAGATAAGGCTGTTGTTCACTGCTATCACCAATGATATCCCAAATTGTGGTCGACTCGATTATGCAGCACATCGTACATGCGAAGCGAGGGATAGGAATACGCTGGAATGATAGAAGACTCTAGAAAATTTAGATTTCACGGTTAAATTACTATTAATGTCATACAAACTAGAAGACTTATAGGCGAAAACCAACAAAAAATAGGCAGAGAAGACAGTAATCAGGTGGAAAGAGAAACAGAGCTGACTAAGGTTATCAAGCACCACCAATCAATCAATCACTATCAGCGGAGAAATTTGAAAGTGGTTCCTTCTTTCACTTATCTAGGAAGCAATCATCGTTTCAGATATATGCTGGAAGTATGAAGGTGTCAAAACCAGGAAGAATCAGAAAGGCAAGGTCAAAACCTTCATCAATTATCTTAAGTCACAAGCAACGGGATAAACTTACCTATTCCTGTAACGTACATCAAAGACATCATCTTAATGTGTACAGAAAATATTCGATTCACATTCCAAGGAAAAGCATACAAACAAATCGACGGTGTTGCAATGGGTAGCCCTCTGGGGCCCCTGTTAGCAGATATATTTATGTCGAAATTAGAGAAACAAATGCAAGGTATTCTTGGAGAATTTATGCTGTAAAAACGTTATGTAGATGATACTCTTATTATTAGTAATAATAGCAAATCTATTGAAAACTTTATCACCCTATTTAATCATATCCATCCAAATATTCGAGTGACCTCAGAACTAGAATCCAATAACAAACTCGGTTTCCTGGATATTACTATGACTAGGAGAAATGATGGAACGATTCAGCGCTCTATTTTTCGTAAACAGACGTGGAGTGGACAATATCTTCATTTTACCAGTTTTGTTCCTATCCAGTATAAACGTTCCCTGGTGAAATGTTTGTTCTCAAGGGCTCGAAAAATATGTACGAGTGACACATTGATGGATGAGCTTCGACATATACATTCAGTTTTACTAGCCAATGGTTATCCAAAAAACTTCATCAATTGTCACGGTAAGGATAGACCACATCTTGAAAAGAAAGCTTCTGTACCAAAGAAAGCTATCTTTATTAATCTACCATTCAAGGGCGACCAGATTATGCAGTTGACAGCTCAAAGACTTCGGTCAGCCATCAAACGCACATTCTACGCCGCATCTCTTTTTCTCACTTGCCGAACATTTTCGATCCCTGTACCTACGATTAAAGGACGAAATTCTGTGGACTCTACTTCAAACTGTATCTACAAGTTCACCTGCAGCTGCGGTGACACCTATATAGGTAGAACTAACAGAATGTTCCAATGTCGTCGAAAAGAACATGTTCCAAAATGGCTAGTAAATCATATCGAAAATCCTAACGCGATTAATCTTAGTAGAAATCCAGCATCATCCATTGCAAAACACTTATTAATGTCTGGTCACAAAATAAATATTAATGACTGTTTCACAATTATTTCAAGGTTATTGAAGGTGATGGAAGCACTTTGGATTAATCACATACAGCCTAAACTGTGTGTACAAAAATCAATAGACTTCAATCTTCGCCTACCCTGGACTGCATGACCTATCTTAATATGATTGGTCATTAGTATGTACTTTTGTTTTTATTTAACTGAGTAATTTTCATGAACTTTATTTTATCATTGTTAACCATGTTAGTTGTAAAGCGGTTGTAAAGAAACTACGAAATGACGATATCATCTCGCGAAATTTGTCTTCTTAATGCCTTATTCAAATTTATCAAAGGGACTAATTGTTTTAATTATCTTAAATCAGTTTGAAAATATGCTGCACTCAGCCAGCATTAGATAACAAAAGTCGGATTTTAAACATAAATATGAAGTTAATCGGGTCAGAAAGATGCAATACGCATCACGGAAGGGATTTTCAACTGCCTACTGTTCCAGACGTTTGTCTACAGCTGCTCACTTCGCTGGTTCCTTATTGAAGACAAAAAGGCTAGTGAAAATCAATTACCAAGAAGAAACCAGCGAGGAACCAATTGCTGAAGAGATATGTGGAAAAGCATTGAGATGGGTTGGGTACATGCCAATGAGGATACATTTGAATGATATCTCGCGCAGTGCACACCATCGTTTCAGTGAAATACGAAAAGGAAAAGAGTTCGACCTGTCCAAGAGTGAAATTTAAGAGATGAGAGACTATGGACAACCTTGTTTCAGCTGAAGAGGATAGCAGACAATAGAACAGACTAGAGATGTACTCTTGAAGGTCTGTGTCCCATTCACAATTCAATGGAGTA